TTAAGTCTTAATTGATCACCGATAAGACTTTCAATTAAAATGGTAAAGATTTAAAAAATGCTTATGTCGATAGCTTTTACCATGCCTGATAAGAGTCTTGGTACAATGAAGCGCATAGAAGTCGTAAAATTTTCTGTTTGGATGGAACGTTTTTAGCTATCTTTAGACACGCCCATTTCTTTAGAAAGAAAATATCGGTCAAATGATTCAATCGAATACCTATAGAACAGGTATTTCATAAATATAACATCCAATGAAATTGACAGTTTACATACACACCGAGTAAACACGTGTTCGACTGATAAATGTGCTATGCTAACTACAATAGACATTATAAAAATCATAATTATGGACTTCGTGTTTTACGAAGGCGGGGACTCTATAAATAGCTCTTTCTTAATTAAAACTCTTCATTTCAATGTAACTCATGTTGCTTGTCGCGGAAAGTGTAGTGTCCTAAAACATTACGACGAATATTCCTTTCTCGTTTCTAAAGAATGGGCGTGTTGTTATCCTATTATTGACGTTCAAAATATGACTCAGAACGTTTCGTCCAAATGGAAAATTTTACCACTTCAATGCGCTTCCTTGTACATGTATATAATACATTTAAAGAAATCAAGTTGCACAACCTACCTACTGTATTTGTTTCTAGTACCCCCCCCCCCCCCACCTATCCGTTCATCTACATGTACCATCTCTAGCCATCTAAAATATCACGTTTCCAATATAACTTGCAAAGTTTGAGACAGTACAATAGTATAGGATAAAATATTTTCTAGGGTTGATTAATTTACGTAGGACGAGAATTTAAAACTGACTATGACCGTTTTATTTTCAGGGGTAAAATATACAGAAAAATTAATATACATGTTATGATGTATCTGTTAGAAGATCCTGGAAACTCTGACGAGTGTAGCAAAGAACCAATGAGTGCGCTTCTTACAGTAAAAATTTATAGGTCACCAAACAGACTTCGTGTCGAGATCGTCATGCCCTATGGAAAGTCCAAAGTGACTGACACCCCATCACTATATCATGCTGTATATACTGTCGCTTTTCCAGTAGGCGTATTAAACAAGATTTAATAAAGTAAACATGCAATTACAATAACCGTATAACCGAAGTACGTTTAGTTGTACTGATAATTATCACCTGTGGTCCTCCGTAGGAAGGCTACGCTATTGTACATAAACTTATTCTAATTTCCATGATTTGCAGCAGTAGAGGCAATATTTTGAAGCAACTTTATTGAGATGAGACAATAAATATTTATCAAATGGGTTAACATACTCCCGGATTTTCCTTTTTCAGAAGTTAACACGATTACAGTTTGAATCAGTGTACAAATCTCGGTTTTCCGAGATGTATTTTCTCCCGCTACAGAGGGATAATCGCGCTTTAGCGAGATGATCTCGCTAAAGGGGATGTGTTCCCAACCTGTTGAACCTTACTTGGACAGGTCCGAGCATTTCCTGAGATCAGAAACCAGACGTTAAAAAGATGTGGCAAACAAACCACTTATTTGTATCTATGAATAGCGAGAAATGTATTACATAGACACAAAAAATAGTAAAACGTGCCACTTCTCTTAATTTTTAATCAACTAAATCGCATCCAAACTACCCATGTTGAAACTGAAAGTATTTTCTTCTTTCACTTCCGTCACGACGTCACACATGCGCATTAACGGTTTATAGAATATTTCGAAGATTGAACCCGATTACTATAATGCTTGTGAATCGTGAAAACGAATTTTTGGCCGTCTATGCATTAAATATTCAACTTATGATTTAAACCAAACATATTACTGTTCTATTATCGATAGTTTCAAATATTTAAAGCGATTTTTACACCCAAATCCTAAAAGTAAAGATGTTAAAAAGATTTTTCAAATTATCATTTTTCAGCAAATTTGGTTTAAAAATGTGAAATTTTCTTGTTTGATGCCCGCTGCCCCACTTAATTTTTATGCCATATAAGGGAGAGAACATTGGAAAATAACGTGTTAATTTTAAAAAGAAATCTGTAGTCAGAATATCAAGCAGCAATTTATTTTTACTAGTAATGAAATTTATAATTTTGAGCTAAATATGTATAATTCGCCCTAGAAAGTAATATTAGGTGGATCAGCAGATTAAAAAAATAATTAAACATTTAAACAAGCATATTTTCTCTATGATTCATATGTTAAAAAAATTCTTTTGCTTTTAATTTTAGAAAGCTAGAATAAATATCTTAATTTCCGCATTTCCGTCATTTCACGAGACAATGTCTATTTTAAGTAACAATCCTTTCAAAAGGAGGTCCGGTTGACCCCAAAATTTACACTGATCTGGAAAGGACAAATACTCAGTTAAGATTCTGAAAAGGTTCAACAAAATCTGTAGTTCCGTTATTTCTATAGGATGGTATGGATCTTTACCTTAAAAGGAGACTTATACTTAAAGAGACTATATCATAATAAAATAGTGCTATGTGAGAGAAAATTCAACGTTGTACGGAGCTTGTCAATTTAAAGAATCAAGATATTCTACATATACAAAAAACTCTCAGATATTTGGCTAGATGATAATCAAGTAACTGGCTTTATGTATGAAAGCCTTCGTCATTTAAGGGGATGAAAGATGCATGGTCACGTGACTCAATTGATTTACGTCATAATCTCTGATAAAAAATGTACAAAACGAGATTGAAACCACAGTACTTGTATAGTTTTTTTGACTGTTTGTTTGCGTTCACCATCTAGTATAAAAATATTTGAAAACATTCAAAATTTCTTGCAAATATTATCAAATTACGGAATAGATTAATCCACTCTGCCGTTTCCCTACTCTGCGCGTCCAGTGCGTCTTTGACGTCATAGTGGATCTCTTAGTTCAACAAAATCATACGGTAAAAACGGGTAGTAAAAAATCATAACAAGAGGCACATGGGCCACATCGCTCACCTGAGCACCAAGGGTAGGAAAAAGTAGAAAATGGCTTTTTATTGTAAAGTTTAAATCCCAAAGTAGTCCCATGACCAATCATGGATTTGCTATTTTTTAGAAAATGATTTTTAAAGAATTTTCCTATATATACCTTTAAAAACTTTGGTCGGCCATTTTGGCCCCGCCCTACCCCCTGTGGTCATGATTTGAACAAACTTGAATCTACACTACCTGAGCATGCTTTCATATAAATATGATGAATTATGGCTTTGTCATTCTTGAGAAGAAGATTTTAAAAGAATTTTCCTATATATTTCTATGTAAAACTTTGGTCAGCCATTTTGGCCCCGCCCTACCCCCAGGGGTCATGATTTGAACAAACTTGAATATACACTACCTGAGCATGCTTCCATATAAATATAATGAATTATGGCTTTGTCATACTTGAGAAGAAGATTTTAAAGAATTTTCCTATATATTTCTATGTAAAACTTTGGTCAGCCATTTTGGCCCCGCCCTTCCCCCGGGGGTCATGATTTGAACAAACTTGAATCTACACTACCTGAGCATGCTTCCATATAAATATAATGAATTATGGCTTTGTCATACTTGAGTAGAAGATTTTAAAGAATTTCCCTATATATTTCTATGTAAAACTTTGGTCAGCCATTTTGGCCCCGCCCTACCCCCGGGGGTCATGATTTGAACAAACTTGAATATACACTACCTGAGCATGCTCCCCCATAAGTTTCATCTTTCCTGGCACAGTGGTTCTTGAGAAGAAGATTTTTTAAATATGCCACCAAATTTTCATAAATTCCCAATTATCTCCCCTTGAATGAGGGCGTGGCCCTTCATTTGAACAAATCTGAATCCCCTTCACCCAAGGATACTTTGTGGCAAGTTTGGTTGAAATTGGCCCAGCGGTTCTTGAGAAGAAGTCGAAAATGTGAAAAGTTTACAGACAGACGGACAGACGGACAGACAGACAGACAGACAGACAGACAGACGGACAGACAGACGGACGCCGGACAAAATGTGATCAGAAAAGCTCCTTTGAGCTTTCAGCTCAGGTGAGCTAAAAACGGGCCATAATATATACATGGTAGGGTATTTTGTAAATTTCAGAACGCAAAAAATATTTCTACATGGTTGTTGACGGAAAAGTTCTGTGAGTTTGTCTTATTTCGCTTATTTCAGGAATATGACTCGTTTAACTTTGCCCCGTGCAATATTGAGCTCAGCTTCACCAATCGATATTTTTACAGTTAATCAATACAATGACGACCTTGAACTTCGACGTAAATTTTCAAATATTGAATGATATGATTTTTTGCAAAATAATTTTTTTATGGTTTAAGTTGTCCTAAAAAAGTCGTAAATTTCCATCTCCAGATGTGGTGTTACAAAAGAATCTTGCTTTTTCGAATTTTTAATCCTATTCATACTCTAAAATATTTTAAAATACACATTTCCGCTGGTATATTTTTTATCTATGGTGAAAAATTTCAATTATCGACCGAGTAATGGACCCAGAAACACGGTGAATAAAAACTCCGCTCAGACACTGTGGGGTATGGTATCTGTCACTCAATATCTCAGAAAAAAGTCTAGAAACCTATTGATATGTCTGCTTTATAGTATGTAGGACATACTAAATAAGATATATGCAAAATATGAAAAAAATTAAATGGCATGTATTTTTTCAGCTAAAGGTCCTTCATTCCCTTAAGCATGTTATCATGCAATACAATTGCTTGATCACATAAAGAAACCAAAAAATAACAATAAAATAAGATATTATTTCTAAAATGAAAAAAGTACATTTCAAAAAAGCGTTGTAAGACATATAAAATCATAAACAATATTTCAAATTCAGTATTTGTATTACTATTCAGACAAATTTCTGAATTTTGCGTTTGAACATGAAATATTCAGATAATGAGCAGTATCAAAAGTTCATTCAAACAATACGAAAGTTGAGCCGAGCAATATATCTTTTTTCTATACGAAAATCCATTACAAGAGTGTTTTGTTTGCAGCCATGGCGGGAAAAAAAGTTACTCACCTTTCACTTCCTGTTTGTGTTGCTTAAATTCATCTGTAAATAATAATTCAATAACTAAATAAATGGCAATCCTGATAAAATACAATCAAAACAATAATATTATTTGTTCATTAACACTTCTTATTTCAAAACAATTTTATATGAATGGTAACGGTGTTTGAAATAAATTGACATGTATAGTGTTTTTAAGCTGCCGTCATTTATGAAAATGAAACCAAAAAATCGCTTTTTTGGGTTAAAATAGGGGAGAGAGGTTTTCCATAGTGATGATGCGATTTTGTTCCAATCCCATTTTCATTTTCCATACCATGAAGTATTTATTTTCAAAAGATTTTGTGAGATATTTAATATCATATTTATTTCTATTTCGCTGATGTGCTGATCATGATATTTATAAAGTATTAAGACATATATTTCTCAGATATACTTTCAAACATTTTAAAGTATTTCCTGAAAATCTCTTTACAAAAAATGTAAATGTTAACAAACATGAAGAAAGAAAAATACCTTGTATTTCCTGCTTGTGTTTCTTTAACTCTTCTGGAAATATTGATTCATGATTTAATAATAATCTTAATGACATGCAATGATATTTTAGATTAGTTATTCAGTATGGTTTTGAATTCTCAACAAAAAAACTTATGTTTAATTGTTTATGACTGATCTCAGAATTTAATATAACACAGATTTTGATTTGTTTGTTGTTTAACGTTTCATTGCAGAGAACTCTTCACTCATATATGTATTGAAAAGATATCACTTGTCGGTGGAGAGCTGCAAATTCTGGCTTGTTCACGGCACTCATGGTCATTGAGTAGTGAGGGATGATTTTCGTGCCAGCACTTACTGCGACACGGGACCTAGGTTTATACGGTCTTTTCTAAAGTGCCTGTCTCCATGTCCAACAGTTAGATTGGAAACCGCGACTTAAGGATCAGCTCCTTACTCCATAACTCTAGAGCAGACGCACCACTATGCCACGCTGGCGATTCATGAATAGATATTTATTCTGACTACTGTCATCTTTAATATAAAATAATAAGTTTCTTTTTGCCTATACTGTATTAAAATGAAAAAAAGATATAATGAGTTGTTTTCAAATCAATTTGGGACTAGATTCAAGCGCATTTTTTGTTTCTTGTGTTATATTATTATTCCAATCTCCCTGATCAGCTTAAAGGTGATAATTTGATAAAGCAAATAACAGAAAAAGGAAATACAATGACATCAAACAGGTAACTTTAATTTAATTTCTGTGTGAAAATTTAAGTTTGTTCGTATTATGTTCAAATTTTGCCTTGCCAAGTTCTCTAAAAAAAACAGAATAAATGTAGCCCTCAAATTCGGTTAATCCATATATATTATTAGTCCCCTACCAGTGAAACCGGGGGGGGGGACTATAGTTTTCCTCTGCGTCTGTCTGTCCGTCCGTCTGTCCGTCTGTCCGTCCGTCTGTCCGTCCCCGTCAGTCTGTCCCACTTGGTTTTCCGCACTTTTTTTTCTAAACGCTTGCAGCTATTGAGCTGAATTTTGGTACATGAGTGTATCTTAATGAGTTACAGATCAAGTTCGAATTTCGTTTCACTTCATTGATTTTTGACAGAATTATGGCATTTTTAATATTTTTCATTTCCACTTGGTTTTCCGCACTTTTTTTTCTAAACGCTTGCAGGTATTGAGCTGAATTTTGGTAAGTGAGTGTATCTTAATGAGTTACAGATCAAGTTTGAATTTCGTTTCGCTTCATTGATTTCTGACAGAATTATGGCATTTTGAATATTTTTCAAAATCTCTTAATTAAGATCAGGTTCGAACTGCGCTAACTTCCGATTGTCGACAAAAATATGAAGCGAGGAAAGGACGATGGATAAATGAGTTGAATTGTCGTCTTAATGTTTGTTATTTTATTAGACTTAAGGCATTTGCAACTTAAAAATCTTTCAGTTTAACCTTGGACATGACTTTTGCACATTAAAAAATGACATCCTGAAGAAAAAGGGGAACCCGGTAGGGGACATGTATTGCTTATGCAATACTCTCAGAATGCTTGTTATAACAGTAACTTGATCCAAAGGGTTGTATCACGTCGAGTTGACAGGCGCGGATCATCAGATCTAACGCGACGCGACGCTTCGAGTTTGATCTGATGATCTGCGCCTGTCAACGAGACGTGATACGGCTCTTCGGATCAAGTTACTGTTATAATGATAAATTTATTATCAATAATACCCCCTCATACCTAGCAAAATATAGCAAAAGAAAACTTTAGATATCAATTGCATAACATTTATCCATAAAACAAAGCATAATAACAAGGAACTCTTTAACGCGCAAGAAAAATAATGTCACATTTCTGCGTACTACGTCATCAGTTTCAGAGAGTGGTGATATGGATTCAGCAAACAACATGTTGGTGATCCGGAAAATCCGGATCACGACGTCACGCGATAGCGTAAATTCAACAGTAAAATTGGGTGATACACATTAGGTATATAATAAATAGATATATCTACTTGACAGAGAAGCATATCGACCCCTAACTTAACTAAGGATCGACTTTATGAAAGGAATAAATCTGTTTGAAAGGTATACATTTACAAAAGATGTAAAATATTGATTATGAAAACTGATTAGTTTTTATTTGTGAATACATAAGAGTAAGACAATTTAAAGTGGGAAAGAGATATTTTCCAAAGTGATGATTCGACTTTATTCAAATGTCATTTTCATTTTCGTTATTTATACCATAAAGTATCTATTTACAAACAATTTTGTGGGATATCTTATATCATATTTATTTCTAATTTGCGTCTTTGCTGATATTTTTGAAGTATTAAGACATATATTTCTCAGATATACCTTTGAAATCTCTTTGTAAAAATATTTGTTAATGCTAACAAAAACGAAAAAAGAAATACCTTGGATATCCTGCTTGTTTTTCTTCAACTCATCTGGAAATATTGAAACATGAACTAAATGATAATCTTTATGAAAAACAATGATATCTTAATATATGTTATTCAATATAGTTTTGAATTTCTAAAAAAAATTATTTGTTATTACGTAGGAGTAAGACCCTCAATTCTCAGTTATCTCTTTTTTACCATTTAAGCTGACAGATTTGAAAAAAAAGTTTGTTAGATGTATGAAAATCAATTACATGTATACACTTAAATATTTTTCAAGTCTCCTTCGGTCGATTCCTTCACAAAACTATTCAGTTTACAAAAAGGTTAAAACATTAATACCTTGCACTTCCTGTTTGTGTTTCTTAAACTCATCTGAAAAATAATGATTATCAAAACAAAATACAGTGACGTCTCAAGATTATATTTGATTTTCAATTCAAACAATAAGATTCGTTTACAATAATACCAGAATTTTATACAGTGTGTCATGTACAGTCTAATTTATACTGCACTTATTTATGAAAAAAAAATTAAAATTTTATCCTAATTTGTGTCTAAAATGCTAAACAAAGTCTACCACGATAATGATGTAACTTAGTCCAACTGCCTTGTTCGTTCATTATATTTACTACAAGATTTGTTGTAAGATATCTAGCATCATTATTACGAAAAAAAATTAAGAAATGTTTGTTAACAAATGTTGTTAATGAAAAGGAATGAAATACCTTGCATTTCCTTTTCGTGTCTTTTAAAACCATCAGTAAACTAGTTCTAATTGTAACGGGAACCGTTACAGATGTTCCCCAAACGCTCCCCAACTCCCCTTTGGTGCCATATTCCCTCCAAGCTTCATTAAATAAGACATCTGTGCATTTTTTACTTTAAAAACGTTTTCCCAGAAGGATACCAATTATATTCAAATTTTAGAATTGCACGCGTGTGCATGTGAATGCATGTGCGTAATGACCATATCATTTTGTCTACACTATCTATATATTTTAATATACTATATATTAAAATATTTAGTCCAAAAGTATTAAAATAACTCATTCAATTGTATTTTTATATTCACTCGTTCCAAATGCACGCACGTGCGTGCAAGTGTATATTGACCATACCTTTTTGTAGGAGTCCCTTATATCTATCTTTGTTCTAAATCCCATCCGGTTTGGTAGAAAACCAAGGGAGTAATAGCCATTTGAAGTTTAAGCCAATCAGATCGCAGCACACATGAATACACGTGGTTTCATGAAATTTGTTCTATATCATATTGTAGGAAATCCTAATGCATGACTATTTGTTAAATTTCAAAGCATTTCGACAAAAAATAAAGGAGATATAGCCATTTAAAGTTTCAGCCAATCAGATTGCAGCTCTAGTGCATGCGCAATATTTCTTGAAATGTTTTGTATATCATATTACAGGATATCCTAGTGTATGACTATGTTTTAAATTACAAAGCATTTCGTCAATAAACAAAGGAGCTATAGCCATTTAAAGTTTCAGCCAATCAGATCGCAGCACACATGCATGCGCGTGATTTCCCGAAATGTTTTGTATATTATATTACAGGATAACCTAATGTACGATTATGTTTCAAATTTCAAAGCATTTCGTCAAGAAACAAAGGCGATATGTGCACGTGATTTCATAATTTTTTTTCCATATGATATTGTAGGATATCCTAATTCATTACTATATTTTAAATTTCAAAGGATTTCGTCAAAAAACAAAAGAGATATTGAGATTTTTGTTTCAGCCAATCAGAGCAAAGCGCACGTGCATGCACGTGAGTTCCTGCTAATTTGACAGTGACATATTATTAACAGCATTAATATATACTTATGTAATGAGTTTGATAGCATTTCATCAAAAAATGTAAAAGTTATGGCCATATTAAGTATATAAGTCATTTCACTCATTTCACGCGCCCGCACGTGCATGCGTATGAGCGCAAAATGACCTTCGTTCCGCACACCTACACTACACACCTATTAACCCTAAAAAGGTTTTAGCTCAGTTGGGTGAACAGTTTCTGAGAACACTCGGACAAAAAAAGTACCGGAGAACAAATAAGAAAAAAAACTAGAAACGATCTCGTTGCGAGCAACGAGAGGTCTTCCGTCCGATTCAGGAAAAAAAAAATTTTGGTCGCAAAGAGGATTGAACCCATGTCGCCTTTTTCTGTTTTATCCCAAACGCGCAAACCATTAAGCTTTTGGGAGTATTGCTCTAAATGTACTTGTTTGTATACTTTTGCATCCGTACACCTGTCTAAGAATCATAAAAGGCGGGTCACTATTGATAATTTGCGCCAAACGCCACGAGTAAATATTCGCGCATTTTCTTTGGACTAATCTATTAAATAGGTGTGATAGTTTCAATGAAATAAAATAAATAAAACGTTCTTATTGCCTTTATTTTATTTCGACGTTTAAAAAGTCATTGTAAACATTACATATATCGTATCTAGCCCGGTTACACTAAAGTAGTGAAACGGTAATTAAGTGTTAAGATTGACACTGAATTGCAACGTACTACTACGTGAAAGTCCAAGTAAATTTTTTTACATTTCATGCATTCTTATGTCAGAATAGTTTAATCAAACGCTCAGCTGCCTCCATAAACCCCAATGGCGAAATTGCGAAATGGCGGACTTGACAAAGACAGCCGCCATCTTGGGCCCGCTTCAGATTTTCAAATATTAATATGTAGAATTCAGATAAGCCAATTTTCAAACAACTTATATAGTAAGCATCAAATTGTTAAGATGAATACTTTTGATCAATAATGTATAACAAAGAATTGATCATTAGAGAGTTATAGATAAAAGGCCCCTCTTAGTCCCTAATTTGAAGGGTCAGCCCTATTATTTTAATATCAAATGAAAGGTCTTGCGATATTGAACATTTTGTCTTCAATATGTTTTAACAAATTATGAACAGGTGTGAAGATATGAGACAAACTGCGTCAAATTTTGTGAGATATTTCTGAGACATTTTTTCGGCCCTACCGAACTTCGGTGCCTTTTGCGCTAGAAACACTTGAAGACCCAATTACAACTCACCAAACCTTCCTCTATTTTACCTGAAAATCCCAAGTCCATATCTTAAGTCGTTTCGGAGGAGTTTCCCGGACAAGCCGACCCTCTGAAAATCAGAAAATCGTCCATATCTCACGACCGGAAGTGAGATAATCAAAAAGGAAAAAAACCTATCAAGATCAATTGAATAATTGAATATCTTTCAGATCTGAAAGTTTGGTAGAAATCGGACGAGCCATCTCTGAGAAATCGCTTGCACAAAATCGGTTGGAATAATAATAATAACTAGAGCAAAGCTCGTTGCAAAGCAACGAGTAAGTCTTCCGTCCTGTTCGACCGGTAGTAGCTTTCATTTTTAACAAAAATGAGAAATAACGCTGAAAAATGGGTTGAATCATCTAAAACTATGTTAATTAATGCAATAATAAGCCATTTTTTGCTACTTCCGGTTTGACCGGAAGTGACGACGACGGACGGAAAATTAATTTTTATGCTCCCAGAGACATATGTTACCCAAAAACTTCCCAAGCTCGGCAAAAATACGCGTTTTCCGAACACTTCCGGTTTTGCCGGAAGTGACGACGCCGGACGTATTTTGAAGACACCAAAAGATTGAGCTTAACATTTTTGACAACTTTGCTTCTTTGATGTATTACAAATTCTCAATACTTTTTGAGATATAAAGAAAAAACTTTCGACCCCTCTAGGCCCCTAATTTTAGGGGCCAGCCCTTTTTACAAGATATCATTTGAAAAATCTTGGAATTCTACATTTCTTTTGTTCTATATGTTTTAACAAAATATTTCCAGGTAAAAAGCTATCGTAGAAAAGATGTTAAAAATTTTGAAATTCGCGATAGGTCTATTTTAGGGCCATAGCGAGCGTCATCTTAAAGCTTTTAAGATTTTGAACATTTTTTGCTCAACAACTATTCAGAAATTCTTTTTCGTTTTTGAGCTATTAACAAAAGAAATATTTTGGGGCCAACCCTTCAACTCCTAAATGGGAATGTTTAGCAAAAAAATGAAAGGTTGCATATTGTTCAGAACATTATTTTGAACATCTTTTGTTCAATATTGCGTATCAAAATATTTCTCTCTTTCGAGATATAAAGCATCTAAGATTTAGCATTCTGGCCCCTTGTGGCCCCTAATTATGTACCGTACGACATAAAAATCATAATATATAGTTGTAGATGGTTGAGATAAACATCTTTGTTTCAGTAATGTATTACAAAATATTAACTGATAAAGAGTTATCGATTGAAGACTTTTGGCCCCTCTTGGACCCTAATTCGAGTGCCCAGCCCCTTTTTCGGGATTTCATCTTAAAGATCTTAAGATTTTGAACATTTTTTGTTCAATAACTATTCAGAAATTCTTTTTCCTTTTTCCTTTTAAAGCTATTAGCAAAAGAAATATTTAGGGGCCAACCCTTCAACTCCTTAATGGGAATGTTTAGCAAAAAAATGAAAGGTTGCATATTGTTCAGAACATTATTTTGAACATCTTTTATTCAATATTGCTTATCAAAATATTTCTCCCTTTCGAGATATAAAGCATCAAAGATTTAGCATTCTGGCCCCTTGTGGCCCCTAATTATGTACAATACGACATAAAACTCATAATATATAGTTGTAGATGGTTGAGATAAACATCTTTGCTTCAGTAATGTATTACAAAATATTAATTGATAAAGAGTTATCGAAAAAAGATTCTTGGCCCCTCTTGGCCCCTAATTCGAGTGCCCAGCCCCTTTTTCGGGATCTCATCTTAAAGATCTTAAGATTTTAAACATTTTTGTTTAATAACTATTCAGAAATTCTTTTTTGTTTTTGAGCTATTAGCAAAATAAATATTTAGGGGCCAACCCTTCAACTCCTTAATGGGGACGTTTAGCAAAAAATGAAAGGTTGCACATTGTTCAGAACATTATTTTGAACATCTTTTGTTCAATATTGCTTGTCAAAATATTTCTCTCTTTCGAGATATAAAGCATCAAAGATTTAGCATTCTGGCCCCTTGTGGCCCCTAATTATGTACCATACGACATGAATATCATAATATGAAGTTGTAGATTGTTAAGCTTAACATTTTTTGTTCAATAATATATACCAAAATATTGATTCTTAAAGAGTTATCGATTAAGGACTTTTGGCCCCTTTTTGCCCTTAATGTGATGAGTCAGCGCTTTTTTCTTGGTATAATATGAAAGATCTTGATGTTCTGCACAAATGATGTTCAGTATGTTTAAAAAAATATTTATACTTTAAAAAAAATGCTGCGAAACGTCTAAAAAAAAAATCGGTCATGATTCGTGTCCTAAATTT